TATTGTTGGAAGAAAATAGTCAATATTTTTGCAACTTTTTCACCGCAAAACATTACCGGTCTAGATGCCGGTCTAGATGGGAAAATCTAGACCGGTTTCAATATCGATTTCAGCCAATCAAATTCGTAAATTCGGTAGTTCCCAGTACTTGTGAAACATAGCCATATAATAAATATTTGTAATGGTGGAATGAAGGATGTAAAAGCAGTTTAACAGGCCATATGACATACAGGTACAACGAGGCGGCCTGGGAACCACGATGAAAATTTTAAACCTTTGCTTGTTGATTATTCTACTGATGGCGGATGCCTGTTGGAGTGGTCATGTTAATTGCCGAATGGCAAATTGGTGGACTTCATTTGACTACAAGGGATGGTCCCAATGTGACTCAAAGGAGTACGTGACCGGTTTTATGAGGAATCACAGGACTCGTTCTGACCCCATTGGCCTGCTGGAAGAGGGAAGGTGTTGTAAGGCTCTTGCGCCATATCAGGACACATCATCAACTTGCGAATATACCGACTGGTGGGCAGCGTTGGACGGGTTAGTGTTAAAAACTAAAAGTAATTAAACTATTGTCGCTCTCATTTTAAATGAAGGCCGTTTGCCGCAAGATAACTAGTTATGATTTGGACCAACTATTTTTGCTGTTTGGGATATAATCTTTCACATGTACTGCTGGAATCAAACAAACAAATAATCAACCAGCTAACAAATGTCAGTGGTAATTTACAAGCAGTGTGAATTTCTATTGTACTCATGACCTATATCATTATTGCGGGAGAAGTGGAGTGACAGTAACTTTTTATGCAGTTAAATGGTGCAACCTTTACACATTATGTAACGTGCACATTTTGGTCAAAGCCAGTTATACCCGCATGAAATGTGTTCTTTAGAAATTTATGCTGGACCGTACCCAGGATAATAGCCCATTTCCCATTTGCCTTAAGCGTCTTTATCAAAACGAGGCCTGATGCACAACCAGAGGCTAAAGGTAATTCGGAAATGGCCTATTTGAATCACAACATTGAGGAAGGCCATTGTTGCAAACCCACACTCAGAACAATTGGATGGGGGTGCGGGTCCCGCTTTCAAAACCCTTCCCTTATTTAAGACCAAAATCTGCGATTTTCCGTACCCTATTTATGAGCTGGCCAAAAATTCGATACCCNGTAGCGGATATTTGCATATTATGTAACACAGTTCTGTCGCTAATTTTCTTCATGATAGAAACTACGACTGGGCTTATTGTAGAAATGGCTACTTTGTCCAAGATCTTTACCGGAGCAGTGGTCATGGCGTATCTAACATCGAAGCGGCTTACTGCTGTAAACCAAGCACACTTAATGGATATGGAAATTGCTATACAGAGGATGTATGGAGTTCCTTTGACAAAAGAGGAATCGAAGGTTGCAGGGACGGTTACTATTTGGTGGGAATTTACAAAGGAGGCTGTAACCGTCTTCACTGTATCGAAAAGTTTAAATGTTGCGAGATGGGCGTATAGGTGAGGATCAATACCAGAAACATCAATTTAAGAAGAGTAATTGCGATTTGGAACGTGTCATTTTTTTTTTCCTTTTTGTTTAAACCTATTTTAATATATGTTTGTCTCAAGAGCTCAGATGGCTCATCTAGGTGGCTAATACCTACACAAGATAAACAAATAACTTATACTAGGACGACACAAATAACTCCAGAAATAAATAAAAGATTAAGAACAAGAACGAAAGCTTTTGGACTCTAATAAATTGTTGAACAGGGACTGAACTGATAAACGAGAAGAGCCAAATAACAAGAGATCCAGTTTTTGAGTGTCCCAAAATATCAGCCAAAGGACGTTAGAGATAAACAAACAAAGTGCAGTATAAAAAGAGAATGAGATTTCGTCGCATTATCAAAACCACATCTAAAAATAGGTGACGACTTGACTCCGATGTTGTGCACAGGCATCATGTCGTAATCTAGAGTCAATTGTAGTCAGATACATTAATCAAAAGGCAAAAAATAATTATAAAGGCGGGGTGCAATCCTGTTTGATTCATTTCAATCATTTTATTGCGTATTTGACCGCGGACTCTGATCGCAGTCTCTGGAAGACTAATTCATTTAGCAAAAAGTAGGTTTGTGAAAGACATTTTTTAGGCAACGTAACAGGCAATTCCCACGTGGATACGACCATTTTACCTCTAATGACGTTTAGACTAGGCGGAGAAGTGCCGGTTTGTCCCTTGAATGGCCTTCACGGGACATGTCGCCGAACAGGGTGTGTGGATTATGGCC